AAAGGGTGAGAATTTTGAATTGGAATTTTGAATTGGATATCTAGTTCCCAGTCTTTTTGAAAGATAAATGGGTCTCCAAATCCCTTATGCTTTCATATTCTCAACCTATACATATATTTCTATTACATAAAAATACTTGTATTTTAGAATAGCACTTAGGCATGCCTATTTCAGTGTTTATAAAAATCTTGTAAGTTTCTGCTGCATATATGAAAATAAGATTTTTGAGGCATTACTTGTGTTTTTGACTGCATAGATAATATAATACTTGAAGTATATAAAATAGAAGGTTATGCATGTGACCAGAACAGATATTTGATAAACCTAGAATAAATGGAAAGTAAACTGAAAACATTAATTTTAAAAGAATAGTGTCTGGTTAAAATCATGGCATTAAAGAAGCAGTATTCTTATCACAACTATGACTAAATGTTTATTAAAAACTAGGGAAAATCAAATATAATTTACATTTTAGTATTTTCATTGCTTTTTGTTATTTATTCATTTAAATAAGGGAAATTTTCTGGTTTTCTAAAAGTTTTTTTTTTTTTTTTTTGGTAATCTCAGTTTGTTTTTCTTAAACAAGGCAGCAATATTTGTGCTGCTTGCTGCATAGGGAAATATACAATTTATTTAATCCAAACAAATTAATTTAACATTGTATATTTAAAAGAGAGCAAATCAGGGTTGGCCAAATTTTCTTCCTCTTCTATTCACAAATCAAAATGTTGATAAAGTTGAGAGTTGCAGGACACAAGCTTTCAAGATGTATATGTCCCTGAGTCAGTGATCAGCATACAGTACCCCAGCCTCAGTGATATTGTTCAATGAGTTCTTAGAATAAATAATAATCAAGAACTGAAGAAAATAATAAACAAATAGATTGAGAGAAAAAGAGAAATATTTTTATTTAAATAAATACTTCTCTTTTTTTCAGGAGCTGTATTTAACCTGTAGGAGTTGCATGCAGCTCATGAGCCATGGTTTGGCTTTCCCTGGAATAATTAAGGAATATGTTCATACTTTTTTAGCAGTCAGGGTGCTAGAGGCAATATATTTTATTAGACCAACTAGACAGTTGCAAATAAAGAAGAATGTTTTTTGCAAGCTTTCAGGTGCACACACCCTTCCTCAGGCATAGGAGAATGCAAAGATTGTAAAATTTCTCCCAGGTAGAAATGAAAATTCATATTTCACTTACTTTTATATTTATACTTTTCTAAGTACAAATATATGAGACTCCAAGTTAGATGCTAAAGCAGTGATTCTTGGCCTTTTAGGCCTTTTAAATTTTATGAACTTGGTGGCATCCCAGTTGAGAACTGCCATTCCAAAAGTGTGGGTAGTTATTTCTTCCCCCTTGGCACAGAGGGGTGAATGGTAAGGGTGGTTGTGCTGAGCACAGGAGACCTGGAGGTGGAACAAGAGCTGCAGTGGGTTCACCCAGGGGCTGCAGGCTCCCTGTGGGGATCTGTGACAGAGTCCCCTCATCAGTCTCACTTCTTCCTCTGTTAACCCTTTAGCCATGCCCACAGACTAGATCTACATGCAAATCTTGGCTGTACCAGCCCTTAACTGGTCATGGCTGTGAAAGGGTTAATGCAGAAACTGTTGCCACGCAGCAGGAGAGCAAGGGAGCCTGTCTGTGAAGGGAATCCTGAGGGGAATTGGTAATCTGCCTGGGCAACCCATCTGCCTGGGTGAGCCTGTGCTGAACACAGACCCCTGCCATCACTCTGGTGTTCCACCTTTACTTCAGTATCCTCCCTGTGGCCCATGCTTAGGGTGGTGGTGGTGCTGACACCGTGGCATCCTGTTTGAGAGCTACTGCACTATATGCTTCTGTGGAGTGTGCTTAAGCAGCACAGAGCAGTGTTAAATCCACACTTTCAGGCTTTCCATGTTGAGAGAGACTTGGGTCAGTGCTGGGGTGCATGATCAGGGATGTTCTGGGCTGTATTCCTGAACCTTCTGTGCTGCCGTTTCTGGGCTTGCATACATGTGGAGCAGGTGTGAATGGGCAAGGCTTATTTTTTTGACTGGTTTTTGACTTTGCCCCAGAGGTCTTCTAGATGTAGCCTTGATCAGTGTATAGTTAAATACCTTCCAAAGGAGAAAATACCAGGCACTAAAGGGCTTATAAATCATATCACAAAAAGGCATAGCATGAGCTACTGACTGGAAGCTGAAGTTGGACATGTTTAAATTAGAAAGTAGACGCTTTTTTTTTTTTTTTAAATAGTGAGGGTCATTAAGTAGCAGAATTCACAAGTATACTCTTTGGTGAATTCTTTTTCACTTGAAATCTTCAAATATAGACCTCCTGCATGCCTGAGCTGCGCGGGTGCCCGGTGCTTCTCTCCGTGGCTGCGGTGCCCCCCAGGACCTCTCAAGCCAGGTGCCTTTGGGCGGGTGCTGTCTTAGGGGGGTGGGGAGGGAGCAGCCTCTGCTGCTGCAGAGGGAAGCACCAGTCCCACCCTCTTCTGCAGCCCAGGGACTTCTTTGCCCGCTGGCAACTCGCTGTTCCCTCCCCACCAGAGAGTCAGGTAAATCAGTGGGGAAGTGTGCACGACACAGGGGTTTAATCGTCCCTAAATTGAAGTGGTGTATTTTAAAAACCACTGCTTCAGTTTAGGGCCCCCTTTTCATCTATGCATGCCCGCAGTTGTCATGTGTTTGGATAAAAAGATAATCCCAGTTGTAAAACAGTAGCTTGATTATGCTGCTTTGTCTACATTCCAGATTCGGAAACAAAAAGATTTGGAGAGTCTGAAATAAATGTTCCTTTATTTAATGTTAGTCTTTTTAGGCTTCTTCCTAATGCATTCTTGGACTATAAATTAAAAATAGGGCTCTACAATTCTGTGGCTTGAGGAACTTTGTGGTCTCTTTAAGCTGTCAGAAGAAAGGGTAGTCGCTTTTATGTTCAGAGTTACAAACCCTAAATGTTATATACAAAAATAAGTAGGGGTCCCACCAGTATATTACTTGGCTATTGGATCGGCACCAATAAAAGAAGAAATGATGTTACTGGCTGTCAGCTTTTTTTGGTCATTGTAGCCGATAATTACAGCCACGTGCCCAGAGCACCCTGGTGAGCATAGTCCTGTCCCTGCACCCTGCTGCTGGCCTGAACCTGTGGCAGACTACAGGTTCTGGCAAGCAGTGGGAGAGGGTGCTGGGGAGTGGTCACAGGGCGCTGCACTCAGTAACAAAAGGACCGTTAACAGCTCCTGCTGCACTGCCACTACCACTGCCATGGCAATGCAGCATGCGCAGTAGGGGCCTGAGCACTGGGGCTGTTATGGAGATGTTGGGCTGTGCACGGGTAGGGTAAGTCACCACATGTGGGACATTTGCTCTTCCAGGCACCGGGTGCCTTTGCAAAAGTGGCTTCTTCCCAGTGGCCATGGGAACTCAGCTGCACAGGGCCTGCCAGTGTTAAGGCAGCAGCGTGATCTGGGGCTCCAGACATACATGGTGCCACTGTCTGCATGAGGGTCCACCCCGCTCACCCAGGATGGCAGCATGGGTTGTGCAGGGAGCAGGACTGCAGGTAGGAGCTGTGGGCGAGGGGGTTACATGCATGGAAATAAGACGTTCACCACCTTCCTCATCAAGGACCAGAGCAGGCAGGAGGGGGTGTGTGTGTGTTATAAATGCAAAGCAAACAAAAAAGGTTTATGTCTGTAGTTTAAAATATCTAACAATATCACTAAATAATGGTTATTGGATCGTCATTTGCCAATGTGGTTGGTTAATCATTGGCCAAGAAATTCTTTATCGGTGCACTCCTAAAAATAAGACTTCTTCACTGCAGCCTTACGAATGCAAGGCTGTCAGCCTCCACTAGAAAGATTTGCAGAAATATTCTTTTATAAGATCTCTTTCTCTCAGTTTCAAGGGGCTAGTATTCTTATAGCTGAACTTTTTATTGGTTTGCGGTAGAGGAAGATACAATCCAAAATCTTTTTTGGAAAAAAAAAAAAGTGTTTCTTTCCCTTCCTTGGATTGGAGGACTGCTTATGTGTGGGAAACTATCATGCTGGACCTGATGTGATTAAATAT